TGATTTCGACATTTTGGTCAAATTTGATGAGGATGACCTTCTTAATAATGGTGCCTTCATCACCACTGAAGTACATGCTGAATATTTACTATGGAAGTGACATCTCCAGACACTAAATCATCAGTTATCGAAATGTGAAATAGATATGAAAAAGAAATGTTTCCTAACAGACAGGAGATTTTTTAAAATAGTTGTAATAATAATAACAGTGACAATGTATTTTTAGAAGACTGAAGACGTATAGGAGGAATGCAACAGGCGGAAAAAAAAAAGACTTATTGCTCAGACACTTAAGAATACATCACAACATAGACATAAATGGTAATGAAGTGCTCAGTAAGTTAGACCAAAAGAGATGTAATATGAATATTATCTTATAATTTGCTGTCACTTCACAATTTGTTAAGTTGAATGTCAATGCATTTTCTTGTAACATTTAATAACAAATAAAATGTGATGCTATTTTCTTTATTTATGGCACCATCGTCAGGTCTTTAAAAACATCACAGACTTTTTTCAGTTCTCTTAAGTACCTTTAAGCAGCTGAAATATAAATTTATGATAACAGATTAAGAAAACATAATGGTTCACTCCAGGAAAATTTGGAGACGTCATGACCATATGAAATTTTATGACTTAATTAAGCATACATGACAATATACTACGGAGAGGGAGAGAACTTAAAACAAGTTAGTCTCTCCTTAACCAAAATCCTGGATTCGCCCCTAGGGGGCGGGGGGAGGGAAGAAATATTGTTTTTACATGAAAAAGTTCAACCACTTCGAGAATAAAGGCTGAATTTTACCATTTATTGCATAGCATAGTTAAGATAAAGGTAGCCGACAAAAATAAAATGGATAAGATGTTAACAACCTCCAGAGCCGTAGCTAGGGTTTTCAGCGCCCGGGCAGCAACTGAAAATTTTGCGGCCCTTTCTGTGTGCCAAGAATGGGAAAATTTCATTCCAAAATTTCGCAGCATCAATTTAGCTCCCTGGATGCTGAGCTCGGCGACACATGTCCCCTTCCCCCCCCCTGCTACGATAGTGACAATCTCTTATTTTCCTCAATTTCACCTACACTCCTTAGTTTATATTTTTCAAATTAATTGCATTTTAAGAATGTTAACATCAGAAGTAAATATTTAATTCTATTTCAGAATTACAAACATCGTTTCTTATCCTTTCTTCTTCCTAGGATGTCGAAGAATGAGCAAGTGCTGTGGCGCCATCTATTATCCACCACGAAACTCAAATGATTACTTTTATATAGAAATTAAGCTACTCATAAATACAGTTGTTTGATTAAACTCAAATTATAAATTAAACAGATTGAATTACAGCACGACGATGAATTTTCATTTCCTTATTTCAACAATTAAAATTTAACAGAATTTAACACGCGTCTGTCTTGAACAATAATTACGCTATGCATAAAAAGACACTGAAAAATAATCAATACGGCTTTGAAGAAAATTTTTAAAAATGTATTTATTATACGAAATGCATATATATTGAAAGTCCTACCTTCAACATGTATTTATTTCACGCATTAAAAGTATAATTTATTTAAATATCACAGACAGTTAAAATATTAACTTTAATGTGTATTAAAAATATAATTCACAAAAATATTAGTCTTAATCCTCCTGTGTTTCGTATTTATCGTAAAGCATAGAAGTCACAAGGAGTAGAAAAAAAAAAGGGGGGAAGAACAAAATTACACTAAGCAAAATGATTTTTAAAAAAATCTGTTTCCTAATTTCAGATTAGAGTCTAACACCACGAAACAGTTACCATTAAAATTTTAAAAAGTTTTAAACATAAAAACATATAAGATTAAAAAGAAGGTATAATCTGATCGTGTTACGCAGAGTGCATCTTAAGATCTGAAGCAATTTTACGGTAAGCAATTAATTACGACAGGTCTACTAGTTTAAGAATCAATCCCCCAAACATATAGAACATAAACAAAATAATCCAAAATGATATATTCACTTTTATTTATTTTGAACGATCTATTCAAAATGAGCTGTTCGTAATGGCAAAGCCAAATGATACGAAAAAGAATTTGATATAATATTATATCACCATAAATGAAGCACTTGAACACTTATTTAATAAAGAAAAAAAATTACTTACTAAAAATGCAGCTGAATATTTATTTCACTAGATCGCCTGCGCATGAGGTTTGCAACAAATATGGCGGCAACATTATCTATTTTACTAGGACGGGAAATCCGCGAATTAAAAATGAGCAATTTATATTTTACAAACACACATTAAAAAACTGTTTAACAGGACTTTCCCACGCAGACCAATATCAAGCTGATAATAAAGTTAATTACATATACCCTCTTACATAATCAATTGAATTAAATAAGATTAAAATGTGCATTGACTTTTACAAAAGCTGTCAAGTAAATGATCAAATGATTATTTTGTAAATACCTAATATATGGCGTTCGAAACACCTTTTATTAATTATAGTAATGGTACCAAACGTTAATAAAAAACTCACAGAGTGCTGACAAGCTGATTGATCTAAAGCTTAGTTTTTCAACCTAGCTTCGGCTCAGTTCCCTTTTCTGAAGTTTTATTTTGCTTAGCGGCCCCTTCGAGTATGTTCAAAGCTTCAAATGAAACAATGATACATTATTTATGTCTTCCGATTATTAGATGTCTTCCGATTGTAATCTACAGGCTGTAAATACGCATATACATTCCTTGTCGCTAAAACTCATTCAAATCAAAATATAAAGAAATCTCACTTACCTGTCAGACGCATTCTCGCCTTTTATCATTTTCTATATATTTTATTTACGACGCAATTAAATACATTTACAACAAAGAGAAGCAAATATAAACTTTGGTTAATATTTCGCGTTGGTACTACATCTCTCGCAATCATCAAGGTTCTAAACTAGTCCGAAGAATTCAAGCGCACACAGCGCCATCTGGTGCAATACAGTGCAATACAGTTTCTACAGACTGCCCCCCGAATGACCAGGGGTTCATTCAAACACTTACATTAATACACATTTAACAAAAGAAACTCTTACAATGTAAAGTTCAATCAATTCACATATTAAAGAAACTACACTTATTTACTATATAAACAAATCATTCATCTTCAAACAATTTGTAAAGTTACCTGCAATAAAGTATAATATAGATAACAAGCTGGCAACTCAATACTTGTACATACATTAAAACTTTCATCACATATCTGTAATAGTCCTGTAACAATAATACATATTAACAAACATATAATAAACAATTAAAGTTATTCATTTATTTCAAGATTATATAAAAGCTGCACAGGTCTTTTAATAACTGATGTATCTGTTTTAATTTCACAAGACCTTACTTTTCCATCTCTGCCAGGAAATACTGTTACAACTCTTCTTAATTTCCAAAAATGTCTAGGTAGCTTTTCATCATGAATTATTACAATATCATTAACTTTAAATTCAGTAATTTTACCTGAAGGTTTAACATAATGAACAGATCTCAGCATTAATAAGTATTTAATAAGTATTCATTTTTCCATTTATTCCAAAACATACTTACCAATCTTTCTCGATAATTAAATCTTTTAATTAGCATTTTCCTATTAACTAAATTAGAATCAAAATGAAGCCTGGCAGGAGGCAAACTATTCACCCTACGCCCCAATAGCATATGAGCTGGAGTTAGAGGCATAGGTTCCTGTAATTCAGAATAAACATAAGTTAAAGCACGAGAGTTAAGAACACCTTCAATTTCAATAATTAGAGTTTCTAACTCTTCTCGAGATAAAAAGGTTTTTCTTTGAGTTTTTCGTAAAGCAAGTTTTACATATTTAATTAGTCTTTCATAGAAGCCACCCCACCACGCAGCTTTCTCAGCGATGTAGCACCATTGGATTTTGTGGGAGGCGTAAATGTCTTTTACTGTTGGATGACTAATGACAGTCCACAAATTTTTAAGTTCAAGTTCTGATCGTTTGAAAGTTTTGGCATTGTCCGTCAAAACTTGAGAACACAGACCTCGACGAGCAATGAATCGTCGAAAAGCAAGCAGAAATGTTTCTGTGGTCATGCTACCAACAAACTCTAAATGAAGAGCTCGCGTTACTCCACAAGTAAACAACACGATGTAGTTTTTTCTCATCACTGTCTTTGGTATAAAGTGGTCCACCGAAATCTATACCTACTACAGAAAAAGGAGGTAATTCTTCTGTTCTATTTACTGGTAAAGGAGCAGTAACTTGCACACCAGGAGAAGAATTAAATCGTTTACACAGAATACATTTTCTTAAGATATTTTTAACAGTTTGTCTTCCTTTAATTATCCAGTATCTTTCGCGTATTTCTATCAAAGTTTCAGAAATTCCACCGTGAAACACTTTGCTGTGTGCATCCCACACTAATAAATTCACAAAGTGATGTTTTGAGGGCATAATAATTGGGTGTCTTTGAAGGTAAGAAAGTCTTGACTTCTGAAGTCTTCCACCAACATGCATTATCCCGTCATTATTAAGAAAGGGATTCAGTTCTAGAATAGAGGAAGTCTTAGAAATTGTTTTACCCTGTCTCAAAGAGGACAGCTCTTCCGCAAAAGCTTCACTTTGAACAGTTTTGTCCAGATAATTTCAGCCTCGTTAAGTTCTTCAGTGCTTAGTTCACCACATCGTTTAGTTTTAAATTTAAGGTTGTATATAAATCGTAGTATCCAACTTGTAACACGGTATAATTTTCTTAAACTACTATATCTATTCAAATCCATTAAATGTGTCAAATTCGATTGCACTTCGCACACAAAAGACGATACTTCTTCCAGTTTACTTCTTTTTTCGCAATATACTTCTGGAGAAATCTCTAGACAAATTTCATAATTACAGCCTTTTGGCCAATCCCTTTTTTTTCAACCGAAGCCATTCTGGACCTTGCATCCAAATCGAACTGGACATAAACTTTTCCACGGTAGCTCCTCGAGATATGAAATCTGCAGGATTATCCTACCCACTACAGTGATTCCAATCAGCAGGATCAGTTCTAGACTGGGTTTCGGATACACGGTTCGATACAAAAGGTTTCCATTTTGAAGCTTTCCCTTTAATCCAATGAAGAGCGATTAAGGAATCTGTCCACATATATACCCTAGGCACAGGAAATTTAAAATTTGCTTTCAAATGTTGGAAAAGTCTAGAAGAAATAACAGCTCCCATAAGTTCAAGCCTCCGTAATGTCAACCTTTTAAGCGGTGCGATTCTAGATTTCGCAGTGATAAAACTTGTATAAATACAATCATCACTTGACACGTAACGGAAGTACGCAACTGCTCCGAAAGCTTTAGGAGAAGCGTCAGAAAATATGTGTAGTAGTTCTAATTCTTTCACCAACTTCCATGGTATGGAGAAATATTTTCTTTCGATTGTCAAATCTTTCAACAGATAAATCTGACAGCACCAATTATCCCATTTTTTCTTCAAGTCAGTTGATAGCTCATCATCCCATCCTAAATCAAGTTCCCATATTTCTTGCATTAATAATTTTATGAGAACAATAAAAGGTGATGCAATTCCCATAAGATCAAATAACTTCGAAGCTGTCTGAAGTACACTACGTTTTGAATTCTTCCTATCACAGATCATGTCCAGTAGAGGTTTTACATCTAACTTAAAAGTATCTTCTTCGGTGTTCCATATTATGCCTAAAACCTTCAAAGGACGTTCTTTAGTTTCTGTCACATCAGACAAACCTCGTTCACTCCATAAATTTCTCAACTCATCCGAATTAGTATTAAATTTTCTTAAATTCATGTTCGCATCTTTAAGAATTTTTACAGCGCTCTGTGAAAGTTCTAAAGTTTTCTCTATTGTATTTGCTCCGTAAAAAAGATCATCTACATAAAGTGCCGAGTCAAGCATTTCACAAGTTTCGCTTTGTTCAAGTTTATATTTTCTAATGTGGTATTTAATAGTCGCAGCAAGGATAAATGGGCTTGATGTCACTCCAAAGGGAACGCGAGTCATTCGTAAAATTTTGTAAGTTTTTGAATCACTTTCATCTGGAAACCAGAAAAAACGTAAATAGTCTCTATCCTTTTCCGCTATTCCTATGGTCAAAAATGCTCCCTGAATATCACAGCTGAATGCATATTCATATTCGCGAAATCGCAAGATTACATCCAAAATACTGGGATTCAAAGGTGGCCCAGGATTCAAGCATTCATTACGAGATTTGCACCCATTACCTTTTGACGATGCATCGAAAACCAATCTGACTTTCGTAGTGTCCCTATCCGATCTTACTACAGCTGAATGAGGCATATTGTCGCGTTTGCTTACTAGAACTTCACTTCCACTGACGCCCTCTGGCGAAAGAGACTAAAAGTAGTCAGTTGAACGGCTGACGCGTCTAACAGATGTATAACGATAGACCGTCTCCGTATAAATTATGCTTGTAATCATTATAACTTGTAAATATTTTGTAGATATCTTTCATACGAATTAAAATTTCTTAAAAAGTTTATAGCTGTGTTTCGAAGTAAATCGAAGTTCATCATAGAGACAGATACCGACAAGAAGGAAAGAAGGCAGTTCAGGGCAGCCCTATTTAGAAGGTAAGTGAACTTTCACTTATCTATTTAATGATCAAAAAATTTTAATAGTGCAAAGTTGATAAAATTTTTTAACATGGCGCCCGAACAGGGACTGCCAGTAACTGCGGTTTTCCTAACTATTGAAACTGTCTAAATTGATATCAGTTATATAGAGGATACATAAGCATAAATAATTAGTGATTGCTGATAGTTGTTGAATTGTTGAATATTAAACAATGACGGAATTCATCAATACATTGAAAAGGAAACGCGGCCACATAAGGGCTGCCGTTACAAAATTAATTGGCCGAATCGAAACTGAATTACCAAAAACAGAAGTGAATGCAGAGGAACTAGAAATTTCCTTAGAACTCTTAAATGAAAAATCGAACGAGTTAAAACAAATAGATGCCGATATAGAAAAATTAATAGACATAAATTATCTTGACTGACCAGGAATTAAAACGGTGTTGACGAATATCGTGAAAGAATAACTACATTTAAATACAAGGCTAACAAAAAATTGAAAGAAATTAATATAAAACAACAAAAATTTAATGTGTTACGAAGCACTGAACAGTTAAGTGAAAGTATTATAGAAAACGTTAAAATCGAAAGTCATAATGTGAAGCTTCTAAACTTACGATTCCGAAGTTTTATGGCGAGAGCTGCGAATGGCTGACATTTTGGAACACTTTTTCATCAGCCATACATCAAAATAAAACGCTTGACGCTATAAGCAAATTTAATTATTTGAAATCCTTTTTGGGAGGCACTGCTTATAACACCATTGACGGTTTCGATTTAACCGAAGAAAATTACGAAACTTCAGTTAAACTCCTCACAGAAAGATTTGGAAATAAAGATGTACTGATCAACGCCCATATAGATAAATTACTGAAAATAAGACCTCTAAAAGATTGTAATGACATTCAAAATTTCCGTAAGTTATTCAATTATATACAGAAACATATTCGATGTCTTGAATCATTAAATATGACCTCAGAAACATATGGAGCTTTATTAACACCTATTTTGCTTAAAACATTGCCCCCAGATTTGGTTTTGGAGTATAATAAAACAGTTCGGAAAATCAAATTACGATTTGAATCACCTAGTGGAATTTCTTTCTGAACAGTTAGTTGCGCGGGAACGTACATTCCAGACGGTCCAGCCAAAGGCTTCGGCGCCGCAAAAGCATAACAAACTGAGTGAAACCAGACCTATTGCGAAACACACAGCTTCGGAGTTAACGAACGCAAGTTTGCGGGGGGGGACAAACACCATGTGTTTTCTGCGACTCTTCTGATCACGAGTCTATAACGTGTAAACAAGCATCTTTATGGTCTACTGAGAAAAAAAAAAAAAAAAAGGAGAAATGCAAAGCGAAATTAATATGTTATCGCTGTTTACACCCCACGGCATCCTTAGTTTTAATTGCACTTCTAGAATAAGGTGTGAATTATGTAAACAACGACATGCCACTATAATGTGTTTTAAAAACGAAAACACCGGAGAATTAAGGAAGAACAAATTGAAAATAAGGCCTTTAACGAATAATTCATCCTATGAAAGTGTAATCTTGCAAACTTTAATTGCCAATGTTTACGGAGATGGTGAAAGCAATTTTATACGAATAATTCTGGATACCGGAAGTAGCAGATCATATATCAGCACATTTCTTGTGCGGAGAAATTAAAACTAAAATCTTTAGGTCAGGAAAGTGTGACTCATGGGCTTTTTGGAGGGATAGAAAAAAGGGAAAATCACAACAAGTATCTGATTAAGTTAAATAGTCCAGAAACAGGATTCACATGCGAAATGGAGGTTTTGAGCCAAAAAACCATATGCTCACATATTCCAAAATTGGAGGATAGGGAACTGCTTAAAGAAACTAAGAGGTTACAAAATTTTTCCCAGTGATGTAACTAATGAGAATTCTTGTTTATTTGAAAAACACCCTAACGAAATACACATGCTTGTAGGAGCAGATTATGCCGGAAAACTCTTTACAGGGGAAGTAAAACACGTAACGGAGAGTTTAGTAGCAATGAATACATACCTTGGTTGGATAATATTAGGGAGAACGAGGGTAAAGGCAAAGAATTTTAATGAAGTTCTTTTATCACTACACATTAGTGACAGAAAAATTTGTGACTTGTGGTCTCTTGATTCTATCGGAATAACTGAACCAGCTCTTTCGCAAACAAAACAAGAAATAGAAAAGGCTACAGAAAATTATTTCATCCGTACTTTAGAAAGAGATGACACTGGAAGGTATCAGGTATCACTGCCATGGCTTCAAATTCATCCTGAGTTGCCAGATAATAGAATCCTTGCAGAAAAGCGTCTGAAGTCTTGCGTGAAAACCCTTCAGACAAAGAATTCCTTAGAAGCCTACGAAACTGTTTTAAAGGATTGGGTAGAAGAGAGGAATAATTGAACCTATCGATATTTCGGAGGCAGAAAAGATCAAAGGGCATTATCTTGCCACATAGAGCAGTGTTTCGGGAAAATTCGACTACCAAAATTCGACCAGTGTTCGACGCATCTGCAAAGGAGAAAAATTCGGTATCTCTGAACGACTGCCTGGAAAAGGGTCCTAATTATCTTGAATTGATCCCCAAAATTTTGACGAAATTTCGAGAGGGGAAGTATGGAGTAATTTCGGATATAAAAAGAGCATTTCTTCAGATAGGTGTGAATCCAGCGGATCGAGATTTTCTCGCTTCCTATGGTGTGGAGAAAGGACAGCCTGAAAAACTGACTATATATCGGCACCGAAGGGTTGTATTCGGCGTAAACGCCAGCCCCTTTTTACTCGCTGCCACGATTAACTACCATTTGGAAAATGTACCAAAACATCATCAGGAAATAGCTTCAAAGCTAAAGAAAGCCATGTATGTGGATAACTGCGTAGCGAGCGTGGAATCAATTGAAGAATTAAACTCATTTATCAAAGGATCTAAGGAAATAATGGCTACTGCAAAATTTGACCTAAGAGGATGGAAACATAATAGACTTAAAAATAAACCTTTCTGATGAAGATTATGAAGATGTTGTGTCAGTATTGGGATTGAAATGGGACTTGTTTGACGATACTTTGTCTTGTCACGTAAAATATGAAGAAAACCCTATATTGAGCAAAAGATCTGTTCTTTCCGAATTGAGTAAAATCTTTGACCCAATTGGGTTTACTAGTCCAGTTACTCTCATGCCTAAACTGATTCTGCAAGAGTGCTGGAAACAGAAAATTAACTGGGATACTAATCTGCCGAATGATCTAGCAAGGAAATTTTTCACATGGTCATCTCAGTTAAAATATTTGAAAGACATCAAAATTCCTAGATTGCTTCCCAAAATAGACGAAAGTACCACTCTGCATGTATTTTCAGACGCAAGCAAGGACGCGTATGCGACCTGCATTTTCCTTAGACACAGCGGTGAGAGTGGAGTCACTTGTCAATTGATACAATCTAAAGCGAGAGTTGCTCCCCTAAAAGCTCCCCCTATTGCTCACCCATACCTCGACTAGAGATACTCGCTTGCACTATTGGAGCCAGGCTCTCTCATACAATAAGAGAAGACTTGAAACTAAAAAGAGGTTCCAGTTTTTTACTGGACGGATTCCACAAATGCCCTCTTTTGGATAAAACAGAAAGAAAATTGGTCCACTTTTATAGCCAATCGAGTAAATGAGATTCGAAAAATGAGTAACCCAGATCACTGGCATCACATTCCCGGAAAGTTTAATCCTTCGGATTTGCCATCTCACGCGGGTTGCTCTGCAAAAGAATTGAGGAAATCCGAATGGTGGAAAGGACCAGATTGGATTTATCGACCTCCAGAAGAGTGGCCTATTGCAGATGGAGAACATCCTGACTTCGATATAGTAAATGGAGAGAGAAAACGAACTGTGGTTTCAGCCAGCAATAACACGAATGCAGATAAATTTAACCTTTTTGACAATATTTCAAAATTCGAAAAGATCATAAAGGTCGTATCTTGGATCTTTAGATTCGTTAAAAATGCTACAACACCACCATCTGAAAGAACTCATGGGAGAATTTCAGTCGAAGAACTAAAAGGAGCTGAAACAGTGGTTTTCCGACTCATCCAACGAGAATCTTTCGAAGGATTGAAAGATAAAAGAATACGTGCTCTAGAACCTATCATGGACCCCAATGGCCTTATAAAAGTGAAGACACGTATCTTTCAGAGAGACGATGATGCTGACTTTCGTTACCACCCAGTTTTATTTCCCTCAGGAACATCCATTAGTATTAAAACTGATCAAATCTGAACATGAAAGGCTAAGTCACGCTGGAGTACAATTCGTTATGTGCGCTTTGCGTGAAAAATATTGGATCATAAAGAGTAGGAAGACCAGTACGCAAGGTTATCCAAAACTGTGTACGATGTCGAAGGTTCGACTCTGATTCATATAAGATTCCTCAAGCGTCCACTACCTGAAGACAGAATAAGAGATGCTTTAATTTTTGAGATTATTGGTGTTGATCTGACGGGTCCCTTAATTTTAAAAGGAGGCCAAAAAAACATGGATCGTCATTTTTACTTGCGCAATATATAGAGCAGTTCACTTAGAGCTAGTCTCATCTCTATCAACCGAAAGTTTTCTGCACGCATTCAGGTGATTCATCGCTCGAAGGGGTAGACCTGTCACTGTATACTCCGACAATGGAACCAATTTTGTTGGGTCAAATAATT